GAACAAAAATCACTTAACAACTGTCTTGTTTAGTGACAGAAATTTTGCAGTAATAAGTCGAAGACTACCTGTAAAATAAATTAGAATGTACCAAGTCCAACCCTTCATTCTGAGTAGGATTCACATTAAAACATTAAAGATAAATGTCCAGAATCTGTTAGTACTGAATTATATTTATTTATAGAAATAAAAATAGTTACATCAACGTATGACCACAATTGAGTCCAAAATTTCTTTTGCTAAGTGAGACAGTGGTTAAATGATTTTTGTCCAATTTTATCACCTTTCTTGCCACAGTTGTTAAGTGAATCACTTCGATTGTTAAGTAGTAACACTGTTGTTTAGTGAATCTGGCTTCCCCATTGACTTTGCATGTCAGAAGGTTGTAAATATGTCCCTGAAACACTGCAACTGTCATAAATATGAACCGGTTTCTAAGTGTTCAAATTTTGATCATGTGACCATGAGAATGATGCCATGGTCGTGTACGTCCCTTTTTTCAGTGCAGTTGTAACTTCAAATGGTTACTAAATGAATGGTTGTAAGTCACTACCTGTAATTTAAAGAAACAGTCCCTCCTATCTGGATAGTTCTGCTCCTCTCCATAGTAAACAGCTTTGGAAAAGATGCATATGGAGGAAGAGGGTACTTTCCTCAACTGAATTGATCCTGGTAATCAGCGGTGTAATCAAGGAAGTTCTCCAACAATTTATCGAGCATATCAGTCCCCTTATTAATAACAGTAGCATTTATATTGGAAACATCCAGTGGGAACTTGTCTTGCACTGAGGCTTAATTAATGCATAAAAAGCCAGAAGCATTAAAGCTCATTGCAGAGAGAACTGAACCACTTTGCAACTAAAGAGCCTGGTTTAGCTCAACAGACAGAAACACTGTAATTTAACACCAGCTGTCTGCAATTAAAGTAAGTTCGAATATCGCCAGGCTCAAGGTTGACTCAGCCTTCCATCCTTTCTAAGGTAGGTAAATTGAGGACCCAGTTTGTGGGGGCAATAAGCTGACTTTATAAAATATACAAAAGTATGAAGGCTATTGCTTAACGCACTGTAAGCCGCCCTGAGTCTCCGGAGAAGGGCAGCATATAAATCAATTAAAAAAAAATGTTAATATCTGCCAATGAAATATTCTCAAATTCTTGTCTCTTTTGACTGGGAATAAGTCTAGGAGCATTTTTCAAAAACATAACAATAACTTAATAGGCTGTGGGTCTCTTATTGGGTATGGGAGTAAACTGAGAATATGAGGATGGTTGGTGAGGGGTAAGGAGTTGGGCCTCCACATAATTTGGATGCCTGATGACTATCTGGGCTCATCCCTGCAGTTTTCTTTGTAAGATTTTTGATGTGGTTGATCCTTACCTTCTCCCTAAGATTGAGAGAGAGTGACTGGCCCAGAGTCACCCGGGTGGCTTTGTGTCTAAGGTAGGATAACTATCCACAGTCTCCTGGTTCTTACCATGGGGCTTTAAACCACTATGCCATACTGTCTCTCATAAGGGGATGTTTGCAATTCTCAAAAATATATTACTGAAAAATAAAATGATTTGCTTTTTTTTCTAATTGGATATAATACCTCTCTGTTTCTTTGAATTGTAGGTACAAGAGGGACCTGAGCACCTCAGAGTAAGTTGCTTTCTTTCTGTCTTTTGTCTTTGCTTTTATTTACATTTGAATGTAAAAATAAATTGTTTTGTTCAATTGTCACCATTTCCCTTGTCACACCTCCAGTGTGTTTGCATTTTCAAAATCTCTTTCATTCTAGCTAAACTATATGAATTTGTACCTTCTATTATATTTGCTTAACAGTGAGGTAACCAATTTCTTTCTAAAGTTAAACCGTATGGTCTAGTTTGTGATAGGTCCTTAGAGTCAGTCTAAATCATGGATTTCAAATTCACAACGTCACATTGTCACGTGACATATTGCAATTTCCCCCCCTTCACTAAGCCTAGGGTGGGTGTGGCCAATGCATGATGCATCTGGCCTACGGGGGGGGGTGAGTTTGACACCCCTGGCAAAACCATTAACCAAGAGATGCACATATAGACACATAACACACAGAGAGAGGAAGGCATCACAGAGTAACTGTGATACCACAATCTACCAAGCTGTTCCCATGGCAACTCTTCAATAGTTTCAAGCACTTCCTCCACTGCTATCATAACTGTGGCAAAGTGGGATGGCCTTGCACAGGAATCCCATCCAACATCTTACTTTCTGTGGCAGTCAGTCAGTCTTGGGGATTCCTGGAAGAAACATCAGAGTAAACTAACGTGGCACTCAGGAAGGAACCTCTAATAATAGGAAGACAGGAAGTGAGCTAAGCCACCCTGAAACGTGGGGTCATGTTGAGGAAATAGCAGGCCAAGCCAAGTTTGAGAAGAAAATGGGTACCATAAGTGAAAAACAGATGACTTTTTCTTTGACTAATGCCGGATCTTCAGAAGAAAGCATTCCTGAACCAATATCAGCCAACATATTTGACCCAAATCTACTTTCAAATAATGACTTTGATGAACCTCAACCCTCTTCTTCAGGCCTGCACATGAAACCTAGTTACAAGTCAAAAGATAGAGGCAAGCCTTCTTTTCCCTGGAAATTCCTTCAGCCAAAGCGTGGTGTCTCCAAACTCATTTTCCAAGTGGTGGCTTCCACCGAGAAACGCAGTGGTGTCTCCCTGCAGGCCCTCAAGAAGAGTGTTGCAGCCACTGGCTACAGCCTGGAGAAGCGGAAGAACCATTTCAAGAGAGTCTTGAGGGCCTTGGTGGCCAAAGGATTGTTGAGGAAGTTGACTGGGCGTGGACTGACAGGCTCCTATGGGATTAGTAAAATAATGTTGAAAGTACTGAGAAGAAGAAAGAGAAAAAGGAGGAGGAGGAGGAGGAGGAGAAAGGCAATAGCTATCCTTAAGAAAAAGAAACTTGCCAAGCAAAGGAGGAGGAAGAGGAAGAGGAGAAGGTCAAAGAAAGAGAAGGCCAAGCCTGAACAGTCTGATCCATCCAATTGTTGTAGTGAGAAGTCAGTGACGACATGAGGTTTCCATAGCTGAAGCTGTGTGTAAGGAAAAAGAAAATAAAGTGCCGTAATTCAAATGTTTTTTCTGCCTATTATTTGAAAAGGGAAGAGTAATGACAAATAAGGTAACATGGGCAAACCTATAGGGAACTCTGAATGTATTCTATCCTTCGTATGTGTTACTTTTATATTAGGAACATGTGCTGTTTATAAATATTGTAGAAATGAAAGCTGTGCTTATCCTGTTGGATTGTAAACTTGGAGAAACATTAAGAATAATTTTATTTGCATGAATGTATGTGTGTGTGTGCGTGCGTGCGTGTATACTATAATAAGTTTTCTTTTCTCTGTATATATTGTATGGTAAATTCTAGAAGGAAGGAAGGAAGGAAGGAAGGAAGGAAGGAAGGAAGGAAGGAAGGAAGGAAGGAAGGAAGGAAGTAAGGAATACATGAGGTTACCCTTAAAGAGCATTCAGAAGCTTCAACTGGTGCAGAGTGTGGTGGCATGCACAGTCTTTGGGGCTCCTAGAGTGCTGCTAGTACAGCACTGCTTTGAGATCTGCACTGGCTGCTATTTTACCTGTGGATGCAATTCAAGATGTTGGTTATAACTAATAAAGCCCTACACGGCATGGGTCCAGGTTATTTGAGGAACCACCTCAACCCTATGGGACAAGCCTGAACCACCTATGCCAGCAGAGAGGGATGCTATGGGTCCTATCAAGGCTAGCAGGGCCCATGAGAAATGCCTTCTCTAATGCCCCAGTCCTTTGGAACATCTTGCCCCGTGAGTTTTGCTCCCACCCTCCTGACTTTCTGTAAGAGCCTGAAGACCTGGCTCTGCCAGTTGGCTTGGGGCCCTAATGGAGGAATATCACACTGGAAGTGGTTGTTTGACTAATAGCAGTTTCCACCCACCCCCAACTCCCCATAGATTCTCTTACTTCCCATCTTTAGTTATAACCTGTATTTTATTGTAATTTTAGTATTTTATATATTTATTCATATATTTATGGTTTCGTTTTAATGTTGTAACCCAGAGTCACCTTGTGGCAAGATGGGTAGCAAACAAATTTAATAATAAACCCATAATTAATAAACACCATATTAGAGATGTCTGACATGATTAGGCTGAGAGACCTGGGCCACAACATGTTCTACACTTTTCAGAGAGAAATTTTTATGCCTTTTGTCAGAGAAGACTGTGGCCCAATATGTTAGTTATGGGTTGGGGAAGACTTGACTGATCAGAATGTAAGTGCTCACAGGATTGCCTTTCGGTGCTTGGGACAGTCATCAATTTAAGCATATAAAAACATGTACTTTTGACAAATATTTTGAAATATTTTTTTTTAACAACTGTGCAGATAAATTATCTATGTTTTGGTTGGAATATTCCCATCTGAATAGGAGGGCAGCTGTTTTGGAAAGTCTGATGTGGCAGAGCTGACATAAATGATCTACAAAATAGATCAGGTTTTGTTTCCCAAAAAGTGAGTGTTATTATTTCTCCTTTGGAAGAAGAGCTGTGTAGAAATTGGAAAAGTAAAGAAATAATTTTAATGCAATATTTTAAAACAAGGATAGTTTTTTTTAGTGGTGGTGGGGACTAGCTGGCACATTTGTAAAGTTGACAGCATGCTGTGGGGCGATTCATATGAAATAATTGCTCTGGGGGAATTAAATTGCTATTTGAAAATAGCTGCATTGTGCGTGTAACCATTCACGATATTGCCATTTATTTAATGGCATACCAGCAAGTTTGTTCCTAATGTAGTTCCCAAGATGGATCCCATTGACTCAAATTAGAGTTATGTTTTGTGGGAGATATATCAAAATATTTCACAAGGGAGAATATTGGCAACTATCTTGTGTTTTTATGTATACTCCATAACTATATATATCCTACAACCTCCTTCCCATAACTATAATATGCTTTATTTTCAAAGAAATGATATGGACATTGTTGAATTTCAAATACAGTGATTGCTTTATTAGTCAAAAAGCTTCAGATGTCATTGTGAAAGATAGCTCAGACATCTTGGCTTACACCTTGACTTGGACTGAGGCATCCTGAACAGAAGACATCTTGCCTCTTTTACAGGCTTTCTTGACATTTGCCTTCACTTGCTTCTTGGCAGTTTCTCGGGCATTCTTGGACACAGCAGACCTTTTTTTATTCTTGGTGGAATATTTGGCCTTCGGACCTTTTCCTTTCACTATTGGTGGCTTCTTCTTTCCAATGTCAGGACTGATCTTGAATGAGCCGGTTGCTCCAGTGCCCTTTATTTGCCAGAGTTGCCCTTTTGCCACCATATTCTTAATAGATCTTAGGAAATAGTGCTTCTTTTTGACCATGTCGTAGCCCATGTCTGCCACGATTTTCTTAAGAGCTTGCATGGAAAGACCAGACTTCTTCTTGGAGCTGGCAACAGCACTGTAGATCAATAAGGAAAGAGTGGAAGTAGGTGGCTTGGGTGCAGCAGCTCTTGTTTTATTTAACCTTTTTCCAGATCTTTCAGAAGGCAGGGTGGCTCTTTTCCTGGAATGATTTCTGCCACCATGCAGCAAAGGATCTTGTGCAGCAGCAGCTTCAGAAGAACCCGGAATATTCTCAGAATCTGGACCTTCATCTGCATCTTCAGTTTGTGGAGACTCGGCCACATCATTGGATGTATCTAGAGTAGGAGCCTCAGGAAATGCGCTCGACTCCATCATGTTTTTCAAGAAGGGATCTTCTGTCACTTCTCTGTTCCTGTCAGATCAGGGGGATATTTTAGCAGCTTATAGCTCTCTTGCCCTGTTTGAAAGAGAGAGAGAAAAAAAATCAGTTCCTTCCCTCATACTTTTCAGATTCAGTTGCCTTTCCTACCCTCCTCCTACTGGCCTGTATTATCCACAGATGCCTATCACTTCATGGGTATACATTTGCAAATTTCCTAGATCTGAGGATTCTGTTTTCCCTTCCACAGCTTCACTTTTTCATTCACTCACTCAGTTCTTGCCTTGATACTTGGTATTCTAGAAAAGATGGTTTTTCTTAAGTGTTTTTCTTTTAAGTTCTATAAGCACATCTAGTACATATGTTTTTTAAAAAAATGGTATGACTTAGAGGATCTCAAACTGATGGTGCTCAACTGCAAGGCAAATAAAGCCTATCCATCTCTCACAAGCATTTTTGAGTGTTTAGCTGTAGCTGGTTGTCAAGGCAACACAGGTAGGTGCTCTATGATGTCAAGTTTCTGCACTATGATATCATGAGTGCAGATACACCCTTGAATCCTCCTCTTTAGTTTTTAAGTATTAAAAATCCTTTAGGATTTTTAAAAATAATAATTAAGTAAATAAATGAATATCTCCCTGACAATATTACCACAGTATTCAATAATTAAAACAGAAAAAATGTGTATTTTGAAAACAGGGTAGATTTGGGAAAATGGGATGTCTAGATCAGATATCTTTCCTCACACTACCTGCTACCCCTTCTTGCCAACTAGCTGTCCTTGTGAGGTGCCAAACACAATTGGGGAAGATAGTTGGGGAAATCCCATCTCCCCTATATTCTTTCAGAAACAAAAGAAGACACATCAATTTGGGAGCTAAATTAAAGGCTTCCATCATCCTGAAGGGAAAATGACATGGTCCCTAAAATAATCTGCATGACTTTTTTTTTTCCTTTTGAAAGAAGGAAGTAAAAAAGGAGGACAGTTCCAGAACAGCTGATCCATTTATTCAGAGAGTTGCATTGCTAGAGTAGTCCTTGCTGCTTTGCAGTAATAGACTTCGTTACACAACTTGGTTTGTTAAGAGTAATCAAAGGCCAGTCTTGATGAACTCGGTTAGCTTAATGTTGACTTTTTGTGCCTTAATATATTGTGCAAACTAAGCCTATTTTATTAGACTATGATTCAGTGTATCATGTTATTAAAGAAAACGGGTTAATTTGGTAACCAAGGTCAAACACAACTAATGAAATTGTTTGCTCTGGAATAAATTGTTTGAGAAGTGCAGCAATTTCTGAGTTATTGGAATAGGAGAAGATAGCCTTCTCTAGCTTGGCTGTATTTCACTATCCGAGCTTGGCTGTACTCACTATTGAAATTTAGGGGGAGATTTTCCTAAACCTCCACACAGCTCATTTTTGTGCTATTAGGGGTGGAAGTATAGGGAAATCTTCGTGTTTTAGCTTCATTTGCTTTAGCCTCTTATTTTTTTAATATATTATCAAAACAAATCATTTTAATATGACTATTTTTCATTACTTATTGTAGCTTCAAATTGGGAGGATAAATACAAATATAAGTTGCTACTTTAACTCCATAAGGACGAATCCCATTATTTCTAAAGTACATTAATGGTGACTTTCAAGGCAGCAGGAGAAAGTCCTCTGTTATTATTATAGGCTCTGTAGAGTGTAGTGAGATTAAAAGTCCAATTTATAAATAAATACCTATTGAATAATTTGCTTCTCTTAAAAAAAAAGTTCTATTCCCAAGACAGGACTAGAATTCACAGTGAGGAGAGCATGGCTTGCATGAAGACCAGGCCAATTTTATGTCAAAGAAGCAATAAAGACTACCTTACTAAGAAGGCGGCAAAGGGAGCTACCCTAACTTTGACTTTAGAAGATAACATTACCACATCAAATATTAAACAGCAAGAGACCCTGTTTATTGAATTAAGCTGCTTGCAAGAATATTTTTGGAAAGGCCACCAAAGGAAAGACGTAACTAAGAAATAGCCCACTCAGTAGTATAAAAGAAAGCTGAGGAAGCAATAAGAACAAGACGTTCTACTCTTCCTACCACCCGTAATTCTCACCAAGTTGTAAGTACACCCTTGCTTAAGAACAAGTGTGCTACCTCAAGAAAGGAAGACTCAGCTTCTTCTCTGAAGAGGGTTGAGGAAAGGATCAGCTTCCCCTTTATAACTCAGGAAGGTTCCTTGTAGCCCCACCTTCCATCAATTACAAGACACAGGTGAAGTGGGGAAGGAATGCAAAAGCCATCCAAACCATCATGCTATACAGCCGCTAAGAGAACGTTGTTTACACACAGGTTCTACAGTTGTAGTTATTTTTACTTCTTCGAATAATATTCAATCCAAACTGATAAACCTATGTAGGTTCTGACAATATCTAGTGATGGTAGTGATGGTATTATTTTTATTAACAGGCCCTATAACAACCACTACTGTAAGGTCTATAAACCCAAGCTGATTTTTAACAAATCCTACATTATAGAGTGTTTCAAAAGAACCAGGTTCTGTTGCCTATCCCTTTAAATACCTTGCTTGCTAGGGATCTTGCACAACCCTAACCCTAAATTGTCATCCCAAACATATAGATGTGGATACGTATCATTTTTTTAACCTAGTTCTTTGGGGTTTAAAAAGTTTTGTCTTCTCTTTAATAATCCAGGTAATGTACAGAAAATGTTCAGGATGGCAGAAACGTCTTGTCAAAAATATAGGAATTCTGGAAAAATTCCTTTCCAAAATTTTTAGACCCCTCAATTCACCCCCTGATTCAGCTACATTCTCCATATTTGATTATGGATGCAGCTTCCTGCAAAGAGCAGAGGAAAATTATGGCAGAAATCACTATTCTGGTGCAGAGAAAATGCAGTTACTCTTGCCTCTCTCATTGTGACTCATAATGCTCAACTAAATAGCTCTCCAGAACAGATTCCATATTTTAAACCAACAAACCTCACTCACCATTGACATCTCTTATCCCTTGGCTGGACTTAAGTGAGAACAGCTCGGACAAGAGATAATTCCCTACCCTAACCATTTAAGGCAATTCCAAGAGAGAAAAACTATTCTAGTGGATTTACATCTACATCATGATCCAGCCTCTGGAGTAATACAAACCTAGATAAGGATTCCGATACACAAACTAAGTTGCTGAATAATGATGAATCATCATCTCACCTATTTGGAGGAAAGCTGCTAGCTCCCTCCCTAGATCATGGCTTAGATTCTACTTTAATAAAAGAAAAAGCTGTTAATGGCTTAGTCCTATCTAATCAAGCTTGTATAAACCCATTATCATTGTCAGGATTGGACAAAGCTACTAGTCATGAAAATACAAAGAACGGATCACTTAACATTCAGAAGCTGCTTATATGTGATTCAGAAGAGAGGTAACTTTGAATCTCAAGGGATGCAACTACAAGAGAGGGCAGGTTACTGTACCCCAAACAGAATATATCATATCAGAAAGTTGGTTATCAGTCTCATTTTCAGGGCCATATAGAAGACTGACATGAGAGCCAATAGAACAAAATCACTCTGATTAGTTGGAATGTGACTAACTGGTTGTCCAAGTGCAGAGATATTACCTTCATAAGCTTTATAACTACATTTGATGTCATCTTGCTGCAAGAAACTTGGTTCCAACAGCCCTGACATTAAATGGATATATAGCTTATTCTCTAAATGTGTAGCAGGGACAAATGTGTAGTAGAGACAAACCTAAAGGGAATTCTAGGTATATTGTCAACCACTAGCATGAATATAACAACTCAAGAACCTATGCCATTTGAATACTATGCCATGTCATTAGAGGGTCAGTTAGGATCCTGCACTCTGGTAATAGTCAAGGTACATTTTCTACCTTTAAGCAGAAAATATGCAATCAGCAGCTTATGGAATGTTACTTGAATACTGTATTTAATGCATGCCTATTGCGTATATATTGATGGGGGAGATTTAGATTCTAGGCTTGGATTTGACAATGAAATTGTATATATCAACAATATAATCCTCATCAATTTAGTTTAGAATTTGACTTTTTTTTTTATTTGATTAATATGCCGCCCTTCTCCAGAGACTCAGGGCGACTTTCTTCCTATCTGCATGGAAAATAAATTTTGCAGGCTTATGCCTAGTCCAAGAACTAACAGGCTGAATCTTTCCATCTTAAATGGGTCCCTTAAATCAGACCAACTTGCAGAGCTTATGTATTGGAATGGATCCAAGAGTAACCATATAAACTATGATTCTTTTAAAGTTTGACACCCCCTCAAAGTTGACTGTGATCATTTCCCACTTATTCAATGCTTGAGAGGTCCTTGATGCTCTCTGAACTTGGCTGTTTCAGTACCCAAACTAGGTGACATCATCAGTGCTAGTAAGAAGTAGGGCTTGTTCTCAGTTAATATTCCAAGTTTGCCTTGTCAGTGTTGGTGGGAATGGTCTAGGACCATGATGGCGAACCTATGGCATGCGTGTCAGAGGTGGTACGCAATGCCCTCTCTGGGCATGAGAGCTGTCGCCCCAGTTCAGCTCTACTGCACATGCATACATGACTGCCACCAGCCAGCTGGTCTTTGAGTCTCTGCCGCGCATGCGTAGGGGATGGGGTACATGCAGGGGAGCACACATGCATGCATGGAGGGGGGGCGGGCATGCAGGAGGCATTTTGGGTCTTCAGGCACACGCGCTTTGGGCACTTGGTCCAGAAAAGGTTTGCCATCACTGGTCTAGGACTTGGGTGTCAAACATGCGGCATCACGTTGCCATCACATAATGTTTCATGATGTTTTTTCCCTTTGCAGAGCTAGGGTGGGTATGTCCTGCGCATGACACATTTGGCCCTTGGGCTGCTAGTTTGACACCCCTGGTCTAGGAGATTCTTTGATTGGGCAATTTACTGTCAGTGTCAAGTTTCAAGGTCAGCACTAGAGTAAATGCAGGTTGAAGTGCTGACATCCAGCTTGTTTGGCAGTTCTTTGATTGGGGTACTGTTTAGTTCTTGATTGTTGGTCTAATGTTAATCTTGGAGTTAATCTACCTGGGTGCTGATTGCTAATGGGGAGATATCTTGGTCTTTTTACTCCCTTTTTGGTTTGTTGGTTGTCTTTTTTTCATAGTATATAGATATTGTTTATGTCGATGTGTGTATTGAGACTAATTTGTTGGAGTGCCAGGCTTCTAGAAATTCTGTAGTGTTTTTGGACTTGGCTTGGTCTAGGGTGGTCACAGTTTCCCAGTTGAAACTATGGCTAAGTCTGTCCATATGTTGTGAAGTTGAAGAGTTCTGCCCATCTTCTGCTTGTTTGCCCTAGGAAATGGCTTTTGCGGTTGTTACACTGTATATTGTAGATGTCTCCTGTTTTGTCTTCTGAGACTGTAAATCAATTTATTTAGAATATTTTGAAGGGCTTTAGTTGGCTTGTGT